TTGCTAACAATCGAAAAACAAGGCGAGAAGATTATTCGTTGAAATAAATAATTAAATGTATTTAGCGATAGAGAAGCGAAAAAATTTTTCTTCGTAGTCGTGAAGAATGATCGGCTCAAAAGGCAAGATAATGAGAGAGAGAGAGAGAGAGAAATAGAGAGAAAGAGAGAGAGAGAGCGAGAGAGAGAGAGAAATAGAGAGAAAGAGAGAGAGAGAGCGAGAGAGAGAGAAGAGAAAGGTGAAAGAGAGAGAGAGAGAGAAAGATAGTTACCGATCGTTAATCTTTCTTTTTAGAAAGTTGTTTGAAGTATTGTAGGACCCTCTCGATCCATCTTCATTCTCACGACTCCTCAAAAATAAATCGAGTGCTTTTGAAAATGCTTCTACGTGCAATTTCTTTTTTTTCTCATAAGCGTTCTCGTTGAACCAAATTTTTCCTTTTCTTTTTTTTTTTTTTTTCTTTTTTTCTTTCGTTCAGTTTAATTTCTTCTTCTTTCTTTCGTTTTTCTTTTTTTGTTTTTTTTTTTTTTTCTTACGCACGTCTGTACAATCTTTCCCATTATCTCTGTCTTTTTGTTTTTGTTCTTTTTCTTTTTTTTTTTTTTTTTTTTTTTCTTTTTATTCTTAAAAAGCGCGATATCAGCAGCAGAGTTGAGAATAAGCGGCTATGCTATTATGATATTGATTTTGTCTTCCCTATCGATCGCAAGCGATTTTTCGATTATTTAGAGAAAAAGAAAAACATTATCAAGAATGTCGATGACGATGGTATGGATTAATCTCAGGTGATTGTTATTTGTAATGGGTTAGTATAATAATATCGATATTATAGTTATTTATGATCGTATAATAAATCGATTCGAACGTCGATGAGGATGCGATGAATTATTTTTTTTTTTCTTTCTTTCTTTGTTTCCTGTTTTTTTTTTCTTTCCTTTTTTTTTTTTTTTTTTTTTTTTTAACGAACGAAACGTCCCTCGAAGGAGAAATTAGGTGGGATAGAATATTTGGATTTTTTTTTCGATCGATCGATAAATCGTTTTACCTGTTTAATCGGTTCTCACGTTAAAAGGTTTTCTCTTCGTAATTCAAAAAATTATTGGAATAGTATGATTGAGAGAATTTGTTCGATTATACATCGTACCATCCTTTTTCTATCGAAATTACGAAGGAAAATTTTGAAAGAACATTAACCGTACATTATTAACGAAAGGAACTTCGTCATTTTTCGTCAAATTTTTCTGTATACGAATGATTTCTTTTTCTTTCTATCTTTCTTTCTTTTCTTTTTTTTTTTTTTTTGTATTTTTTTCGTCTAGATAGAAAAAAAATGAATATATATCTTGTCCCAACGAAATAATCGTACGGTAGATGATCTTTGAAATTTGAAAGAAAAGAAAAAAGATTCGAGCCTTTACGAAATAGCGAGCTCGTAAGTTATTAATAAGAGATAGATAGATAATTTATGTTAAGAGGAAAAGAGTTAAGAGAAAGAAACAAAGAAAAGAACAAATCCGAATGTATAACCGGACACAAAGTGAAAGAAAAAGAGAAAGAGTAAGAGATAGAGAAAGACTAACAGAGATAGAAAGAAAGAGAGAGAAAGAGAGAGAGAGAGAGAGAGTGAGAGAGAGAGAGTGAGAGAGAGTGAGAGAGAGAGAGAGAGAGGAAGAGAGAGATAACATGATAAACATTGAGAACAGTACGAGAAGGATAGAATGAGATGACGAGTCATGTCCCGGTGGTACAGAGACGAGCACATTTCTTTCTTTTTATTTATTTATTTATTTTTTTTTTTTTTCACTTAATTAATCGTTTTTCTCCATTTCTTCTTATTCGTAGAATAAGAAAAAAATTGAGAAGAAGAAGAAGAGGAAGAAGAAGAAGAAGAAGAAGAAGAATAAGAAGAAGAAGAAGTAGAATTAGAAGATATAGAAGAAGTAAAATAGAAAAAGGATAGAAAGAAGATCGATAGGAATCGGTGGTGTGCCTTACCAGAGGTGGACGAGGAACAAGGGTGGGAGGAGGCCCTCGCCGAAGAAGGTGCTGCACCGGAGGGAGGATGATCTGCTGTGGGAGGCGTAGGTGGTGAGTTTGTCGAGTTTCCACGTATCTCGCCTGCCTGCTTCAGCACCTGGTATATGCTGTCCACGTCTGTCCATACGGGATAGAGACATAGCAATGGAAATGCGATTGCGAATGCGAATGCGAATGAAAATGGAAAATGCAAACGCGAATGCAAATACGTAGGCCTCTTTTTCCTTTTCTTTTTTTCTTTTTTTTCTTCTTTTTTTTTTTGTCTTTTCCTTTTCCTTTCGAACCTATTTTTTGTATCTTTTCTTCTTTTTTTTTTTTCTTTTTTGTCTTTCTCTTTTTTATTCTTTCTCTCTCTCTCTCTCTCTCTCTCTCTCTCTCTTTTCACATGCCACGTAAGTGTGTTACGTTATTTCTTTTTTTTTTTTTTTTTTTTCTTCTTCTTTTTTCGTCAAGTAAGGAAATT